TGACGACGTGCAGTTTGAGAACAAAGTATATTTTGGGGTGAAGAGTGTATCCCGAAAGTGATTACATCTCAGTCTTGAATTGTGATGATCGATTTCAAATCAATAAAACACCACCAATTACCAATGATATGAATCTTGTACCATTGAAAAAGCAAACGGGGAAATGGAAAATCTATAGGAAGAGGATTTTTAATCCTGCTCATGTTTGAACAGACTATTCCGACACTTTCAACAGCTTAATTTGTCTATTCGCCGAATTCAGCGACAGACTCTGTTGAGAGTGGTCTTTTACACTCGTCATTACCATCCCACTGAATCTGCTTCCTGAAGATTCTACCTAATGGGAACAAAGAACAGGTACTTTACAACGCAATGTAAATAAACCATAACCAGAAATATACGTCCAAGCAATACAGAAATGCAGATAACACTGGTGCGTAACTGCTCCACACCATCACAGTTCATGCACATGAAAATAATCACAGTGGGGGGTCCCTTGTATCAATGTGTGAATTTGGTTCCAGTCGTTAGCCATTTTGTCCGCTGATAAACACGGGGTGAATATGAGGAAAAATATGGAAATCAAGTCTGAGGCACACTGTTTTAAAAATACAGGACTGAGACAATCGGATTTGGAAGATGTGGTGAAATTGGTAGGTTTGAACTCATTAAAATTGTGGTCCAGATGTAGGTATTGAGGACTTCCGAGTTCTACCATGGTGTCACGTAGTTTATGTATTACATAGACTGTAAGGATTTCCTAGGTGGAAGACCCGCTGAGTTGTTCAACGTCATACGCCGTGTAAGTTGACCGAGGCGCACAAACGCAGCATTTTGGGTTCATCCCAGAATTGGCGGAAAAATTTTTCCGTGAGTATGATCACATCTACTTTTATCTGCAACACTCAATTTGTTCTCCTACATGTAAGGTTCATAATTTTACTGCCGACTGCTCATGAGGGTGGTGTGCTTTTTCATACAGTATCTTTAACTTCCTTGGCTTATACCAGTCACAGCGGTCTGTGGGCGTAAGAGTCTTTGCTTCCCGACAGACGCGTAAATAGCTCGCGATGCTCTCACACGTCAGAGTCTCGAAATAAATCCTAGTTGATGGACAGCATAATATTCTCCCGCAAATGAATATTGAACATGTTATACATCCGGAAATGAACCAGACGGGCTGAGAACCTAACTAGATATTTCTGTTTACATATTTTATGGGCAATATTACCAATACGTTGATCGGAGTTTTTTACGGGGACAAGCATGACCACATGAAACATGGATTGCTTATTCACTAAGATACAATGAATGCTATCTCTGGTAGACAAAATAGCAATGTTATGGTCAGACATTGGTATGATAGTAAAATAAGAACTGTTGAATTCGTCAGTCACAATAACAGGGTAAGAAATAAATTCGCTGAGGTATTGTTGAAAGAGTGAACCCAGGAAAATATCTGTTTCCTTGGAAGTATAGTCTGGGGTTAGGCAGATTTAAAATAACGACAGAAGAACGTTCGAAGAGAAGAGGTATCTTGCATTCAGTGGCTACACAGTCGCGTATGCCAACGGTGTGCATGGATGTAAGAAAAGGTGCCTAAAGAGTACCAATAGCAACTTATTCTTAGCTTTTCGGTTTCATTTAACGAAATTCACCAATATCTGCAAATATACGACCAACTACCATCTTTTCCGATAACGCTGTTACCGAACGATAAACATTTACCTGTTCGTTATACACCCCTGAGAATCAGAAAACCAAGGAGAATCTTCGGTTTTATGCAAATGTTTGGTATTCAACAACAACGTCCCCTCAAATGCCTCTAATGAGGAGAAGTTTCATTTACCGGAGATAAGGTAGTTTACATTGGAATGCACAAGTTGCCTCTGCTGGTCAGGCTTAATCACAATAGGCGAGCACATATTCGTCGAAATAACACTAACAGGAATGAGTCACTACATTTGTGTGGTCACTTCTTAGCTAACAGCTACAATTCTGATGCAGTGATTCATAAATTCAATTTCCTTCACCTTGATTTAATGCTGACAATTTGACTGTTTATTCATCAACGCGAAAATCTCAAAATCTAACTAATTCCGTCGATATCAGTAACCAAAATAGGAAAACGAAACTCTAGACGTGTGTCTAAAACTAATAGATACCACTTTCACGAAGTTTTAATATTTTGTAAATTGGTTTCTTAATCTGACTTCGAAAAATACATTTCCATGTCATTCCACTGCGAAATGGTGGTGGATAAAAAAATGTTTACGGAAACCGTCGAAGTATCTCGTTTCAAGAAGTAGCGCGATGAATTCAAATTAACGTTTGACAGTTATACTTTGTTTCTTTCAATTACTCAGATGTGTTTGGAAAGGTTCCGTTAGTGGCTTCCGATTTCGGCCAAATTGGCTTGCTTAGGACTTTTCCTTCGGGGGTTATGAAAGGAGGCGTCCCTACAGATACCTCATCATTGTGTCAAGTTTTTTCTCTCGTCACTCTGGTGCTAACTTGCAAATTATGATTTCGTTTACCGTCTCCTCAAGCAATTTTCCCTCTATGATACTGGAAGTGTAACAATCGTACTACAATTACACTTTTCGGTGGCAAGAATGGATGTTCAACCCCCTAGAGATATATTCAGTCCCGGTGAACACAGTGTAGAGTACGTTCCAGGTTATCAGGCAAAGTCTGAAGGACCGTGGGTGACTGAGCCAATCTACAAACAAACTTCAGCTGAGTTCAACTAAGAAATTCAGTTCGCTTGGCACATAAATGCTTGACGGTCGCAAGGGCTTTGGAGTAGAGTAGCAATAATTGAATTCTGAGTGACTGAGTTGTCGAGTCACTGTATGGGATACGTTTGCATAAGGTAGAAACAGCAGCCAGATTTAAAACAGTATATTATGTTGATTCGGCCTTATACACACTGTGCATGATATGCCAGAAACCGGCGGGTGGCTTGTGATCGAGCGTTCACATATGGGACCAATCGTTGTGTACAAAAAACGAAGACGACTTAACGTACACGAACACATGTCACGTGACACATAACAGAGAACTAGAGTCTACAATGAGTCCGATTCGTGACACTTGGAAGCTCGCACAAAAGTCTGGGCGGCTCGCATTCGCGCGTCATACTGAGGAAGCACCGTATAGTCTACAAATTATGCTCAATGGCAGTTAGTTTCGGTCGAATTCCAGTTAATACTACTGAAACGATTGTCAGTAGCCAAAGTTCAAGCAGTCGCCACGGATTATGGAGGAAATGCGATGGAGTGTGTTCGTGAATGAGGGGTTGACGACACCGTTGCTTACATTTACGACTGCCGCGAACATCTTCCAAGTAGATAAACAGGCGCATCGAGTTTTCCATGTCCTCTTGATGACTTATGGTGCTCTGAGCATTTGTAGTCTTCTTTAAATCGATTCGTTATAAACTGCATTGGACACGGCAGCAATTTGATGGGTCATAAGACAACTGACTACTTCATCCGCAGGTAACTGGTTTCCTTTTTCACCGACTACTGTACCGAAATCTGCGAGTATCGCCTTCGTTCACTAATCTGTAATTTTACTTGATATTTTTCCTTCCATTTCACGATTCCAATCTACGGAAGATTTGACTACCCAGTCAAATAAATAACAATGTGAGGATGAATGATGTAGAATGAGAGTAGTAAATTACGTCATTCCACTTTGCGTCGCGCCAAAGAAGCAAAACCAGAACTGTAACATTTTACTGTAATTACCAAATCGTCGTTCTACGTGAACCATTTTCCCAACCAACCTTGTTATTATTACTGTATTTTTGACACTAACCTCATTTTTCCGGGGTACCTTGTATGCGTAAGTGATGTACTACTCAAAAGCATACCGAGGTATTTCAACACGGAAGTGCCGGAGCATTGGTGTTTTCCTTTGAATTAAAAGTTGAAACACGCGTGCCACTGAAACGTCACAAAAATCGAATGCTGTGATGTATCCTGCCTGCGCCATTTTCCGCATTGTTTTGGAATGAGGTCAAAATTATTCGGAAATGCCACCCGACTGGCTGTTTGAGATGTCCTCCTGATTGATCTAAATACCGGTGGACCAGTCATCGTTACACGTTTCGCGTAGATCGCCACACCATGCGTTCGCAGTCTGTGCATCGCACCACAACGTGCGCCCATAATTACGAACGTAGACCCGACCTTGTCGTGATCAAAGCCAAGAGGTTCAGTAACTATCGTGTGACCGAACCAGGTGACCGAGAGGTAGTCATTCATAAAATCAGTAGACAGAGGCGGGTCTATCAGTTGGCTTTGCGCGTTCCAAGTGGGAAAAACGGACGAAGCAGATAAAACCAGACTGCAGTCACATACGGGCATCGAGGTTGACAATGGGAAATAACAGCCACAGTGCGGTCACGATGGAGCAAATGTATCCGAAATGCGATCAGTCTCCAGCGTTGCCACGTGGTGATAAACATTTTTCGGGCATACTAGCGATGGACTGCAGTTCGGCTCGGTCTTCAAGTGGCTTGGTTACGAGGTAGTTGTTAGGCCTCTTAGCTTTGATCACGACAAGGCAGGGTCCACGTTCGTAATTGTGGTGCGATGCACAGACTGCGAACGCACAATGTAGCGAAATACACGAAATGTGTAAGGGTGACTGGTACGCCAGTCCTCAGATCAATCAGGAGGAAATTTCAAGTAGCCAATCGGGTGGCATTTCCGAATAACTTTAACCAGCCAGAACAATCCATGCAGATGTTCACGGAAAAAATACTATTTGGGAAAATATAACTCACTGTATTTAAGAAAAAAACTTTCTCTCAAGATATAGAATATGAATTACAATATGTATCAATCAACGCGTCAGTCATCTATTATCATCCCTGATGAGAAAGACAAGGTATACAATGAAAGCATCGTTAGTGATTGTGCACTAAAAGTCAAACAGGGAAACATTTTCGGTAGTGATTCTATTCTTCTTGCCCAAAGTCATCAGCTTCACATCCAGTTGACATTGCTCGGTTGACCAAACCAACGTATACCAATAGGTTCGTGCCCTCTATTGTACAGATTTCTCAAGTCCCTCACGGGTAAAGTGTGACGTGTCCACGCAGGCCAAAATTCACGATAGGCCAAATAGGTTCGCATTGCAGGCGGCAATGGTAACTGTGCAATCAGACGAGGGTAGGTGAAGCACAGACCGTCACCGGAATTGGCAATCTCAACTGGAAGGACAACAATGGGAAAATATAATTCAGTGAACCTGAATCAAAACAAACTGTACAAACATGAAATATATGAATTCAGTTCAGCCGACTTCGAATAACCAATAACCGTGTACTGAGAGGAGCGGCTGTGGTTGCTGTCTCTCCGCGGGAACCTTAATCAGAAATAGCAATAAAAAGGGACCTACAAACAAAATAAGTTGCCCAGAAAAATGTACTTGAATACATGATCGTGACGCCGGGCTATATCCCCCAGTATATCCAACCACTGATTGGGGGATCTTATGAACAACACCCAGAGAGCCCAACGTGTTCTACAGGACCAACTCTACTCACCATGGACTGGCCACTCTTACTCATCTTTCAATCATTACTCGTCTCAGCTCAGAGGAATCCTATTCGGGGATGTGCGGAACACGTCCCAACTACCTTAGCCTGGTGAGCTTTAGTGCCTCATCTCATGATCTGGGTCGCGTGCCTAACCACAGCATTGACGATACAGTATTCTCACCAGATCCGAGCTATGTTACGAAGGTATCAGTGTTCGGATATCCTCCACCTAGTGCCCATGTCCCGCAAATGTACAGAGGAGTTAGTCTAATTGCTGCAGCATACACTAAACTCTGAATAGATATGTATTGATGGTTGGCAGATTTTGATAATGTTTTGAGGTGATCCAAATGTGAAAAGTCTTTGGCCTCGGCGGGATACGAACCCACGCATGATCCCGCCGAGGCCAAAGACTTTTCACATTTGGATCACCTCAAAACATTATCAAAATCTGCCAACCATCAATACATTGTAAACATATCCAATGCACTTAACTGGTGGAGTCCGGTTAGTACAAAGGGAAATCCTGCTGTAGGCAGTCAAATTACAAGCTAGTTCACTGTGGTGGATGCCGTGTGCTACTGTAATTTGGGCGGGTATACTGTGATCCATATGCAGAAAGTCGAAGGTCCTCCGGCGTGGCCTCGTAGCTCAGCTGGTAGAGCACTCGCGGTACTAAAGTGAGGGTGGTGAACATGCGTGGGATCTGAATAGATAAACAGATTTTACGCTGACACCGCAGATGACAGGTTGTCAAAAGCCAAGAGCGGTTTCTGTATATGTCAGGACACGTATCCGATATCTAACCTTCGAGTGAAATGCAAATGCCTGGATAGCAAGACTTATCCACTTGGCTTACTGCCACCTACCGCTTTAGCCACAGACTGAAGGTACCGAAATCGAACGTGTTCAGCATCATGTCTTTTTATCTAGTGCTGTGAGATTTCCGGTGAACCTATAGGGTTTTTAGGCAGTGTTAACGCAGCACTAGTTATCTCCAAGCCACAGAAAACCAGTGGGCTGTTTCTTGTTGTCGACAAGAATCAAATCGATGAGTGAACTTTGAAAAGCGAAGCTTTGAAAGCTTTCGGTGGTAACTGTCCGCATACTTTATAATAAATCAATCTGGCACTAAAATATGATTTTTATGATTCACTGTTCCGAGAAAGACTGGACAAACAAGTATCACAACACCCAACGGAGCACAAGAAAGTCCCTGTGAGTTCATTTCATGCTTGAGCATCAGTGCAGTAGAAGGGGTGTATACCGCAACCTCAAAGGTCCACGGCACTATTGAAGGATAACCGGTGCCCCAAGAATTATAATGGAAAACCACACAAGGTCTCAATAGGTCAGGCATGATAACGAGCCAGGTGAATTTGATAACGATCTACCGCAAAAGTGACCGGTGGTGGCGGGATGTGAACCTGAGACACACTAAATCAACGGTCATGGTTTCGCGATGTTGGCACTCAAAGATCTAGGAAGTCACATCCGAATTACTTACTGCATGAGATCTGGCCAGTGCACTTACCCAACTTCTGTGTTGCTAACTGACGAATACGCATGCGACACCACTCCATCAAACTAAACGGTGAATGCAGTCGTTCTCCCTGTGAGCCTTGGTTGGGATTTGAAGCTTGTGTTGCAAACTGGCAAGGCTCATGTTCGTCAGGATTGGCGACCTGCAGACGATGATAGAGCCAGGCATCGAAAACCAACTGCTCTTGTCTTTCCTTCAGGCAGTTTGGATAGTGGGAACAGTCAGACGGATGTCCGTCGTCGTACTGCAGAATCCGGTTAGGATGTAGACAGGAATTCGACAGTTGGATATCAAAACTCCAAACCTTCGGTGTAGCTATCACGAGCTCGAACAGAAATTTCAAATTTGAAGTACTCAAATTTTCATCATAATTTTCGCGTGAATCAGATAATGCGAGTGCGGGACCCAGACTAGTCGCACTTTTCGAACCGAACACCTGAAAAAATATAGTGGTTCCATAGTTTATATATATATATATATATATATATATATATATATATATATATATTCCACAGGCTTCAAATGAAGCATGGTACTAACATAAGAACAATAAGAAAAATAGGGAGGGGAGCAGAACAGAATAAAGGAAACAATTAGTAAAAAAAAGCTAACATATGGCGTGACCTTTTGTCTTTTCCCATACTCTTTTTCATGTACTTTGTCATTTTCTCTATCTGAATGTTATTTTTATATTTATGGAACACTATAATTCAACAGACAGACTGCACAGAATTTACGCCGCTGACTTCTATTCGGAGCCATGTTCTCCAACGTCCCTAACCAACGACAATCCGTTTTCCTTGAGCCGCAACCAGGAAGGCGGGAGGCACTGAGCGAAACCAATTCTGATGCTAGCTGCTTTATACCTATACGCCAAGTCACAGAACATGGAAATGCAGACGATGGACGGACACGCAAAACAAACCCGGGCCATCGTGTGACACGCAGGGGCAATGTTCCTCTGACGAGGGCAGCACGTGTGTGATCTGCGAAAGCACAAGAGAAGGAAAAACTCCATGAGGCCCAGTAAGTGTATCAACAGGCACCAACACTTACAGTAAACGAACAACAAGATGGCGGCCTCCAATCTGGCCGTTACAGTCGAAGACGGTATAGAGCGATCACTTCGTTAGGAGGGTGATTATCCGTACCTAACACACGACGAAGCACCTTGTCACTGCTCACTCGATGTTCACACCAGATGCGAGCAATGCTTCGGAGACATCGGCGGTCAAACACGGAGAGCCGCCGTGCACCCTCGATACAAATTAGCCAGGTCTCGCAACCGTGAAGCAAGACGATAGGAACCACGGGGTTATATACCTGTGTCTTAAGGGAGAGCCGGAATGTTACGGCGACGCCATACGTGTCGCAGGTTCGCGAAAGCTGTCCGATTCCCCGCTATTCGTGATGTGATCTGCTTTTCAACACCGTCTCCAGCTGTAATTCAGCTCCCACTACGGGTGAGTGTAGGCATAGGCTTTTGACAATCTTGGAAAAGAATGTGGAAAGAGAATGGAGACCGAAAAGCAAGTTCCTATGTATGGTGGAAGAGAGCGTTTGTGAAAGCAAATGAAAGGACAATTAGTCCCTGTATTAGTGAAATCTTCCATGGATGTTTGCGTTGTGGGTTGTTGTACTACCCAGCCACTCCGTCCAGAGAAAACTTTCTTTTTCCAGGATGCACCTCTGGCCCTTGCGCAGCCAAGCAGTAGCGTTTGTCCAATGGAACCGATGACCGACGTATGGCTCTTTCGTCCTTTCTGGAAACCTTGTCGGGAAGGTGGAACACGAAAAATACTATGACCTTCCCAAGCGGTGGGCAACAATCGTCACGTCACAATGCCGCCAGCCAATTTGTGGCATTTTAAAGCGGACAACGCTAGCTAAGCGGAAGACTTCACCATACCATCCAGTACTGCCACTGATCGTTCACGGTCGCTTATTTAGTGAGTACACCTTATTCACGGTGGTGGTCAAGTGGTTTAGAGCATTTTTTTACTACATCGGAGGTTAGAAGTTCGAATTCTTGTCATAACCGGCTACTTTGATGGTAGACGGTAATCCGCTACCGTCCGTCTCGTTACCACACCTGAACTATTGTGACTTTATGTAGATCTCCATTACAAGTCTCAGGGTCCGGTTGCCGATTATCTCCAGTTGTGCAGTCAGCCTTTATGGTTAGAAGGTATACCCTTTCCACTGCAATCACAAAAAAATCACCGGCGTGGACGTCCTCCTATCCACGACCTGCAGACGCGCCCGGCAGCACAAACTTCTGCTATCCGCAGCCGACCCTTTGGTTACGGTTCTGGCCGAGTTTGAGCTTACGCTAATCACTCTGTTGAGGGAAAGTACCATTTTCCCTACAATTGAACATCGCAAGTTTCAGCAACGAAATTGTTTATGTTCAAAAACAATGAATTATGGAGAAAACCAGCGTTCTTACTTTTGCCAAAAACTGGATTTTTTCCCTGCTGTATTTCCTATTTTGCTCCCCATGTTATTTTGCCGTTGCTCCATCGTGTTTCTCTCATCTACGGTTAGTCAAATTCGCACTTTTAAAAGGCCATCTGCGAACACGAAATAAATGGTAGAGATGAAAGCAACTTTGTACTGTGTTGTCGGGTCATCAATAGACGTTCGATCATGTTGGTTTTTGTCTTCTCTCTCTAGCCAGCGAGCGGGCCAACCTTGTCGAACTGTGCGCCGTGTTTTCGAGTTTGTGTTTATTCGCGAGTCATTTTGTTGAGCGAATACGGGTCTACGGAGACCCAGTCGAACTCTACTGTGTGTTATCAGTGTCAAGTGCATCTTACCGCTGCGAGGACGTGGGTGTCGTGTGTATTCTGAGTTGAATGCCATTGTGTTTTGTGTCATATATTATCTGTATGGCATAACACTGCTAATTCGTTCTGTGTTATCCAGTTTCAGTTGATTCGTGACTTCAGCTTGTTAATTTTGTATGATCTGGCAACACAACACTTTTACTCCAGTTTACCACGAGAATTAGTGTACGTCAGGGTTGCCCCTCTCTCTTGTTCCGCTCAACTTCGTGATTGATCAGGTATTAGAGACTGTTATTTTGTCATGTGAGAATAGTGGCACTGAAAAACATCGGGGTGAAAAAGTGTCGAACCTACAATATGCAGTCGACATCGTTCTTCTGATTAAAGATCCAGGTAAGCTGCAAGCTTTTCCGGACAGCCTGAACAACTGTGTAGCAATGTTCGGTGTGCGCTTTGCACTCTAAAGGTGCAGAATGCTTTCACAAGACAGAGTTGGTCCGACACTACGGTATCTGGAGGGACCGTAGGTCTAGTGGATATGTTCCATTATCTAGGTAGTTACGTTTCATTCTGATATGGGATGAAGTGCCTTAACGCATAAGGGAGGCGTGTTTGGCTTTCGACAACTTCAGTCATCTGTGGTGTCGATGAGACTGGAAGCCGTACTGGTAATCGCCCGACGGCCCTTTACGTTGGAAAAATGATTGTATCTGTTCAGAAATGATGGTTCTCGTTGCTTTCGGAATGACATGCTTGAGAAGTGGGGCGGGTGTTATTAGGATAAGAGAGGTGGAAGCCTTTAGAAAAGAGAAAAACCAGTCTTGCACGGAGCAGGGAAGACTCGTGAATAACGAACGCAAAAGAGACGACTTAAAATAATGACTAACCGCGAAACGCATTGTTCTGTCTCAAAGCTATGGCAATACTAAGGGTACTGTACGATCGCTGAGATCGTGAATATACAGGCGGAAAAACGGAGATATTGAAGAAATAAAAGTCAACCGCACTCTTGAGATATACAAATCTGAATGTCACTTTAATTGCTGACAAGGACAGAAAATTCAAGAAACCGTTTTGGTGTGAAACTAAGATGTCTTGTTAGGGATAGCAAGACGGCTTTTTGGCTGTGTCGAAAGCATCAAACCTTGGACACCTGCATGGTAATTGAGTGCTACTTTGTGGCCTGCACAAAACCGAAACGAAACTGGCAGTCATTCGTAGGGAATCGTGACCGGCGGTGCTAACGGTAGTTCTCCGTGAAGATGCACGAGCCGAATTTACGTCACTATAGACAGCTTCAAATTGTTCATTTCATCCGAAAGACAACCAGTACCCAAGATGCGATGACGGTCAGATAAGCTGGCCCCACCATCTGGTTTATATCGCATCCATTTCGAACCAGCTAGAAAATTCTGTCTAATGACGCTGTTCAGCACAGCTGAAATCTCTCCTTTGATTCTTCACAGGCCGGATTCCGCCCAGATCGATGATGCTCCCATCAGATTTTTACGCGTCGTCAGTTACTTCAGACGCGTCACACACACACACACACACACACACACACCGTCGAAAGACAATAATGGTTTTCCTAGACTTGAAAGGCGCCTTCGATTCAAATGACCGAACAGTGCTTTTCAGTTCTCCTCACCGGAAAAGGTATGCCACAGAAGGTCGTGAATCTACTGAGGTCATTCTACTCTCGCTCTTGGCCGGGTTAGGACTTACGGTGAACCAACCAGTCCATTAAAAACGACCAGCGGTGTTCGACAAGGAAGTCCTATTTCTCCATTCCTGTTCAACTTCATCGTGGACGAGATAATAGAGAATGCCTTGCGAAATCTTCAGAATGTGCGCGTCAAACCAGGAAACAGTGATAAGCTGTGACCTGGATTACACTGACGACCTTGCTTGCTTTTTCGAATGCACGAAACATGCCCAACGTGCACTAGATAGACTCCCAAGAGTTGTAGATCCATTCAACATCCGCGTTGCACCTTCAAAGTGTAAAGTGATGCTGCAAGACTGGACGTCAACGGTTCCGAGCTTGATGCTCGATGAGGACGTGATGGCAGTTATCGACCGCTTCACTTATCTTGACAGCAGTGTGACGACGGATGGGAGCACGGTAGTAGAAGTGAGCACGTATATAGCCAAGGGGTGAGTGGCGCACGCTGGACTGAAGCACTTGTGGCGCCAACGTGATATTTCGCTGAAGTTGAAAGGTCGTGTGTACTGCGGCGCTGTGCGCTTAGTTTCGTTGTATAGTTTCGAGACCTGCGGTCTGTCTGCGGAGGATATTCGTCGTCTTGAGGATTTTCACGATCCGTGTTTGCGTAGTATCCCCAAGACTGGAGGGAATGACCAAGTGAGCAATGCTGAGGTCAGAAAGCCAGTATTGAGAGATGACTGAGAGAATATACCAAAATTGCGAACCCAGATTAGTAGAATTCCTTCGTTACGGCTAGAGTTGTTTAAGGCAAAAACACGCCTAATATACCGGGCCCTATTCTCCGTTTCTCCTCAGAAGTGGAAGAAGCTACGTGGAGGTCAACAGATGACGTGGCAGCAAGGAATGAGAAAATATACAGCAAACTTAAGAAAGGTAGGTGCCCCACGTCTTCGTGGTTGGGATCAAAAAGATCCCTGA